GGCCCGGCATCTCAGGACTCAGATCCTGAGATCCCACACCTCAGCACTCAGCACTGGTGATGATCAGAGCAATGAAAATAGTGAGCATCTGCTTTTCCAGATGGAGAAAAATGTCCCCAGCTCACAGTGCTCCATAAAACCTGCTGATTAAATCAAGTCTTCTTTTTAGTAAGTGCTTGAGAGTGAGTGATCTGTTGGGCAAGGAACCACAAATAGAACAACAAGTCCACAAACAGTGTTCTTCCCTCTCTTCGAGTGCCTGACACCGTCCTTTTCTTTTGTAAGAAAGACACAAATTTGTCTAGCATTTTAAAAATGCCAAGAATTAATGCTCAAACTAATGATTTCCCTACAGCAATGGTATCAAAACAGGCTCCAAATGTCTACATCCTGGGCATCAGTTGCCTGTTGACTTGTTGTAAACTAATGTGCTACATTTCAGGGTTATTTCAGGTCTTGGGAAAAATCCTGCCATCAGTAGGCCAAAGTGAATACAGAACAACTGAAGACCTCCATCATAGCTCATACCAGCTATTTTTATGTCCAAGGGATGGATATATCAGTTTCTAGCTACTTAAGAAGCTATTAAAACCTTCTAAAGACCCTCAGCTATATTAAATTACCATTTGGGATCCCTTAATACAATACCACTGTATGAAGGAAAAATGATAATTCACTTACTAATATTAGCCCCAAAGCAACCTGTTAAATGTACTCTCTGTTGGACTTTCTGCCTGGTGCTTGCAGCTGTCAGCTGACAGGGATGGATATAATTCAAGACATTGCAGAAAACATTTTTTCCCAGAATTTTCCCTTCATCCCTGACATCATTCCAGCTTCTCCAGATGAGTTACTGAATATGAAAATATTTACATAGTAGCCTAGTCTTGCTCTTATGATGACTTTAAAATGAATAATTCAGAGAAAAGATGCAGCAGATACTTCTCAATAAATATCTTCTGCAATTAGAAGTTTTCCATTTCTGGTACTTAAGCCTTTACTCAGACTGGAAGCAGCCCTGGTGTTTCACAGCCACTGAGCCACTTGATGACACAAACAGTCTCCAAAAGCACAACTACCTTCAGGAATTGTATGGTATTGACTGAAAAAAAAATTCAAATAAAAGCTTACCTAAATTGGTACACTTTACAATTTACATAGGATAACAAGTCCTTCTTATCCTTAGAACGTTCTGACTGCAAAACATACCTGAATGGAAACAATTTTTCTTTAAAGCACTGCTCTCTAGCATTGGGAAAGAAGCTCAAAGCCACTGGAAACTTAACAGCTCATTCACTGACAGCTCTCATCCCTCCCCCACACAAGCCAGCAGTCATTCAACTAAAAATGTGAAATTAGGTTACTAACAGAAAACTTTTTAAAACAAAACAAAACAAAACAAAAAAGCCTGTAGAACACCTCAGAATGGTGCTTATTTTTCTAGAATTACCTAAAATCTCTGATCAATGCACAGAATGACACTGGAGAGATAGAAACAAGCACGTAAATAAAATATGGTAGAAAGAAAAAAATATAAAAGAATAAAATTTAAAAAAATCTAAAATAAAAAACCAAAAACAAAACTGAAAACCAAACCAAAAACCAACAAGGTGCTTTGGCTTATTTCCAGAGGAATAAGTGACAGCTTTTAGAAGAATGAATGTAGAAAATTCCATATGAACATGTGGATTTTCTCCCCATATTACTCTACTGAACTGGGGAGCACCATGTGGTACCCATTTGATGAACAGACAGTAGGACCAGCAATCACAATCTTTATGTAGGTCTGGAGACAGAAGCAGAAGGCAAGAAATATGTGAATATTTCCAAGCAATTCCTCAGGATGCTTTGTTTTTATGTTTTTCTCTGTTTTCCTTCAGCTGCTCTGTGCTCCGTAACAGCTGCAGCAATATCCCAGCCCTGCTGTTTGCTCCAGCACATCCAAAGGGGCGCTTTGCAAATGCAGGCTCAGCCAAGCTTCCCCCTGGACAGATATTGTGCCCCTGGGTGCTGGCAGGCAGTGCAGAGCTGCTGCCACAGGTCCCCACCTCACTGCCCCCAAGCCCAAAGCTTTGGCTCTGCACTGACCCCACACAAACACAGGGAACCTGCTGGAACCCCCACCAGCTGCAGGCTCCAGCTACACCACATGTAACATACTGCCCCTCTGCCACCAATACATCTGGTGCACGAAGGAGGCAAAGCAGAACCACACAGTCCTTTACAACCACTAGCTGATCAAGAAAACAAAACAATCCCAGAAGTACAGAATTCTTTCACCTCCTAACAACATATACATATATATTATATATATATGTATCATTGATACATTGATACATTTGATCAATGACAAATTATGTTGATAGCAAATATTGGACTTTTGCCTGCATTATTGAAAGCTGCCAGAGTTTCCAAAATGGGATGCTCAGAATCAACTCCTAAACTACTGGCAATTCGTGTCAAAAAGCTCTTTTTATAAAGAGCATTTAGGCTTCAAGAATTCCAAAGAAACTTTGTGAAAATGGTTCAGACAAAGTGACTGCTCAGCGTTTTCCAGGATTATGCCACTTTTCCTCAAATTGACACATATTCACATAGGAACCGCAATTGAGAAGGCTGAAAATTTTGGTTGCAAGAAGTCTTGAATAGCCCAGAATAGGAAGATAACTAAATATATAAAAATAAAATATAGTTCTTGCTTTTTCAACCATCATGAACATTTCAGAAGAGCCCTTTGCCATCATGTCCAATTGAGTAAACCAGCTAGGCAGCTGTGACAACCCATTGCAGGCCTTCACTGAATTCGGTTCTCATTCGCGTAACTCTACATTAGGACGATGAAAAGTGAGGTGTGTTTCACCAAAGAAATTCAACTGCCCTCTGTGTTCCTCTGGAAAAGGAGAATTATTGATAATATCTAAACATTTGGAAAACTGGGTAACTAAGGATAAATACAAACGTGCACAAAAGTCTTCTATGCAATTGCAGTTTTTTAAAAGATAAAATATTTCCATTGTGACCTGCCATTCTTCAATCACTGTTTTTGGAAATC